CAATCTCGATAAATTTTCTGCGTCAGTTTCTTGACGCCTAAGTAAAATTGTATTTATTAGATACACTTGAAGTTTTTCTTCCGATTCACCCTCTTGCGACTTTTGGCATGCTTAAAATTTTTGTGACCCCTAAAGGCTGTTTTCTGTCAACTTTGATAAGTTCTAATATATTTGTTGGCAAGGTAGTTCGACGTCCGATGGCCCTAAAAAAGACCGGTGAGCTTTTTAAGTTAACTCTTTCTTGACTGCAGTTAACAGCAATTGTGACTGCCTGGATACCTCAGGGTGATCTTCTCTGGCTTGCTGTTGAAGACCCGGACTGATTGGGAGAAAAATTACAAAGTCCGAAGCTTTGGGGCTAGTTGTAGTGCTCTTTGCCAACGTCTCCCGGTATAACGTCGAAGACGTTGGTGTCTAAAGCACCATTTTTAGTTGCAGATTCAGTTGTTTTGGTGATCTTAGATGGGGAGATTGGTTAGTGATACTTGTCCAGTGGAGGCTGTCCCGTTGGCTTAATTTTTTTTTCCTTCATAGCTGTTGTAGGTTTGCCCAACGCAGACCTTGGAGAGAATCAGTGATTCCTGGTTGAATGCTTAGAGTCGAGAGGGTAGTATAGGGTCGTCGGTTACCGTGTTTTTCAGCCTTGCGAAGAACAACTCCGCAGGTGACGTCTGCTAGTGAATGGCTGACTTGGTTTAATAGTGCCCGTCTTTAGTTAATATAGTCTTTTTGTTAATGAATCGCTTCCGGAAATGGTAATAAAAATGTATTTGTTGGCAAGGTAGTTTACACTTAGGTGGATCCTAAAAAGAACCGATGAAATTGATAGTTAAGTAGGGAACGTAAATACTTATAATGGCACTAAAAAGTGCCAGTGGTGAAACTTACCGCCTATTCTTATTCCTGATGATGAAGAGCTGGCTACGGTTGCTTGATTCTTACCCTGGAAGTCTCGATGTACGGAGACTGTGATGAAGAAAGGTATGCTGCTGACCAAAGAATATCTCGTCTCGGGTCGTTCCCCGGATAACCAACCGCTCATCGTTAGACGGGAACATGTGGGTAAGCGCATTGGGGACGCGACGACCAAGAAGGTAGCCGTTGTGGCTGCCCGTGCCCCTCACAGTTGTTGTCCCTTGCTTACATTTGTAGCCACAAATTCTCTAACTGCACCAGGTGGGACTACCCCCTCACAACTCTGATGAGTTGAACCAGATTGTGCTCTGGCTAGATATGTCTCCTGGTATTGTGGCAGAGATGGCATCGGTTAGTATTTTTTTTTTTCTTTGATCGCACTCATCGAGTTTCAGGGTAAAAGCACACCTAGGTTCCTTCCCCCTTAGAGAAGAGTATCGTCCGTAACCGGAACACCCAGATGCAAGACTATTTTCAGCATTCTCTATACAGCTCGTTGAGTTGCCGAATCTCGACTGCAACACTGTTTTTTTAACTTTTAAAAATCTCTTTATTTATTACTTTTTATTACAGAGTATATACATAATTTCACTTGGTGATTAGTATGCTGTATTGTAATTTTTGTGTTAATTTTAGGTTCAGCTGTTGGCGCTTTTACTCTAAGTTAATACTTTGTTTTTGATTTTATGAATTATGAACGATATATGAATGTTACTTATTATGGTTTGTGGGTTTTGTGAAAAAGGATTTGGTAAAAAACACATTAATTTTGTTACTTTTGTACACATTAATTTTGTAAAACACTGTGGAGACGCTCCAGCCTTTTATAATCACACTTATTTATTTATGTTGCAGGTAGCTTCGATTTTATGTCGACGCCATCTACCGGCTTTTACTGATCTAAAGAGAAAAGCTGGCATATTTTTGCAAAACTTTGAGCTCATTTATTGTTATTGTTATTAAATTTTCTAAGATGAAAACTATACTAAAACCATCTAGGAAGTATCATGAATCAGTGTGCAAAATTTTAACAAAATCGGTTCAGTAGTTTTTGCGGTTAGCGATTACAACGGTTTTAGCGCTTCTGCTTTATATATTAGTAAGATATGCTAAGGAGTATGAGAATGGCTCTTTAAAACTAGAATATTTTAACTTTATATATTTTTTTACTTTTTTTTTCTTTCGTGACAACTCTTAAAAGTTTTAATTTGATACCTTTTGTAGGATAAAGGAGTCTTTATCCATACTTAATGATTCTCATCTAAGATTCAAATGATGTCAGGAAACGATTTACTTGTTTTTAAATTTAGCGTTAACCCTATAGTNCTCTGACACAGTTCGATCAAAAAATTTCGATAGTTTCTTACAAACTCTTTTTTTGCAGTCACATTGGTACTCATTTTTAAAGCTTCAACAACTGATTCATCTACTGATATAGCATTACTGATTTTAGAATGGGAGCTATCATTTCGATTAATTCTAGCTACATCTGTCATGTCCACGTAATCGTTATCCAAATACATTTTTAAAATATCTTTGTATGTGGTTTGAGGAATATTGCAAAACATGGGTTTCTGACATTGCATTTTTTTCATTGCAGCACTTAATTTTGAAAATGCAGTTATAATGAACAAATGATATGCTTTGTTTATCTCAAGTTCAAAATAATTATTTATTTCAGTACATACATTTTCGACATTATTGTCAGCAACCTTCAATTCTTCTTTCAAAAACAGCGCAAGGCATGACCATACCTCATGTAAACGGAACATACATTGATTATACGTAAGCCATCTTGTTATACATGGCTTCTTTACCATAACATCTTTCAAACGTAGTTTAATTTTACAAACAGCAAACCTATTGACTCAAGCTGAATAAGAAACGTAATTATAAACAAGATTAGGTATGTGTTCGAAAATTATGGATTCCTACCATAACACTAGCTGTATCGGAACAAAATGCATCAATATTTGAGATAGGAATGTTTCCCCATTGCAATGATGATGACAATTTTCATGTTCAGCTTCAGAATCTGCTTTTTAATTTTCATCTCCGTCACAAACTGGTATTACATCCCACAAACTGTCTCGTACTTTTCCCACACTTTCATTAAAATAACGAACAACTAGAGACAGAGCCTTATCTTGAGTAATGTCGGTACTTTCATCTATCATAACACTGAAAGGGGTAGTTTGTAGTATAGCTGATAATCTTTATTGTTAACCAAGAGCAATAACATAACGTTAGATTATACTCATTTTGACGTTTCAAGTAGTACAAATCGCATAAAATACACGCGTGCCATCTAGCGGATTTGACTGAACTGAAGTGAAAAGCTGGCGTACTTTTGCAAAACTTTGAGCTCATTTATTGCAATTGTTATTAAATTTTTTAAGATAAAAACTATATTAAAACCATCTAGGAAGTATCATGAATCAGTGTGCAAAATTTCAGCAAAATCGGTTCAGTAGTTTTTGCGGTTAGCGATTACAACGGTTTTAGCGCTTCTGCTTTATATATTAGTGAGTAAGATAAGAGTTATAGATACGTAACAAAAAACATACGTGTATTGTATCTGTTGAAAAAAAAAATTCTCATAGTTTTATTACGTAATTTTTATATTGTAATTACTTGTTTAAATATTGAAGTCATATTTGCCGTGAATGTTATTTAATCTTAATTTTTTTTCAACAACGTTAAGTTAAAAAGAATCTAACAGCTTTTATGGTTTTTGATTCAAACACAAATGTAAGAAGATAATTTCGTACTTTTAATATCGATGTAAAGAGCAATTTTTATGTAATTACAGGATTCTTGCACTATTCACTAAAACAAAAAATTCTTTGTCAGTTTTTAACGCTAACAATACCATGAGGAATTCTTTATAGTTTTGTTTGATTTTCTGAAAATAATCATCACCGCAAAAAAATGAATATCCTTTGGATTTCGCAAAACAGCTATCTTTCCCAATAAGCCGACATTCACGGTAACTATTGATTGAGAAAAAAAAAAAAAAAAAAAAAAAAATATATATATATTTTTGATAAAAGACACAGTTTCAATCTTCATTAGCACGAAAATTGTATGTTTTCCTCAGAAAAATCGTGATGTCACAAGCGCGAATACGATATACACTCCCTTGTGAAAAAGCGCATACCTTAACCGACCTCGCGGCTCATGGTCGCTGCATGCGACACACCCGTTTAATTGACAAATTAACAGGACCCATGGCAAAAGAGAAGACCAGAACTTCCAATGGCATTAGTGTACATCTCCATTCACATACTCACGTATGTTACATCCATGTGTATATACACAGATATCGATGGCCGCTCCGAAAGTCTCGCTGGCGCGCACCAAATTAAACCTCATTAAGATCGTTTGACCCCCCATACAGATCTCGGGCGTGTCTCTCCCCCTTTCTTTTTCTCCATTTTTCACGCGCCAAAGCTTCGTTTTTCAGACACCTACTAATACACTTTTGCCGTTGATCGTTTGTTTGTGGCTGCACTTTTATCCACGCCATAAGTATTTCCAGGGGGACAACATCTTCTTGGAAAATCTTACCCGCAGTGCAATAAAAACACACCAGGATTTTGCAAAATAATTTATTGTTCGTACAATTATACGGTATACATTTTGCGATACTCGGGAAATTCATCGGCTGATGGCCTTTTGGAATGTGTTTGGACTAAAAGATGATCAGCAGATCACTGGACCATACTTTACTAGAATAACAATTAAATCCCGCATATGTACAATTCTCGTAATACAGAAGTGGCTACAATGGAAACCACGACGCGAAGAGAAAAAAAATTAATTTAAAAACACACACACACACACGCACACGCCTGAGTAACGAACAAACGAGCTCTCGTAAATTGAGTCTCAAGAGCCGTTCGTCAAAATTAATAACGGAATATAAATCCAATCTGTGCGGCGAGCGCGCGTCATTAATACGGCATGTATTTACAAATCACAATTACATCCGCTCCTCTCTCAATTCATCGCCACTCGCAATAAAAGCCCCATCTCTATATAATACAAAACGAGGTATCGTTAGTCGGTCCATCTCTCTCTCTCTCTCTCTATCTCCTGTGGAGTGTACAATATAATGGATGCAGGGTAAAATTGTGTGACATGATGACGATGACGATGGCTGAGAGTATAGCTATTATCATTTTTTTGAGTGTTGTAAATGGCCCCTTGGTAGCGTGAATGGATATTATTATCCAATTGTAAATTCAAAGCAGCGAAACTGCAGTGGCGGTACAGGCGTCGAGAGGATGTGGGTGTTTTAATTAATTCCTCTCGCAGATGATGTCGACGACGCTCGGTTCCATCAGTACGGGCTCCAAGCAGCGGTGGACCGCACTGCCCAGGATCTCGTCCAGTAGAAAATGCACCAGACTGCCAACAACGTGATATACACATAAGTCGACGGGATTTCTTTGACGTGAAATTTCAGAACTTACTTTTCATCACTGACGAACCGCCACAGGTACAGCTGTAGGTAGTGCGTGTCGACTTGGATCTGCTGGAGGCCGTACTTGCTGAAGGTCCTCAGCCTCACGCATTCCAGGAATGTCTGAAAGAAATTTTTCACAGATGGAATCCGCAGCGGTGATTGCGAAAACAAAGAACGAGTTGAAAGGGACTAAAAGAACACCATAGCGATTCGACCAAGTGGATAATGACCGATTGGAGCTCATCTTGTCATTGGCGTGCAGATATGCATGCATCTGCTCTCGAGACCGCCTTCACCTGTTGTCGAGCTACGTTCTCTCCACTTATGAATCGCGTTACATGTAGGCTTAAACTTAAAAAAAAAAAAAAAAAAATATATATAACAAGTTGGTGTCACGATTCTCACCTTGAGACTGATTTTGATGATTCCCGTTAGAATGGATGCCTTGTTGAATTGCACGGATGAAAAGATCTCGATTCTCTCGGAAAATAGTTTGTGTATGTTCGAGACGAACGAAGAGTCGAGGTGACTCGGGGTGTAAGAGGACCAATTCGAGCGATACTGGTGCCTCGACACGCTGCACACAGCAATGGATTCGTCATTGATGGTAAAACACAATAATCGACATGACATCAGGTTTACCTGTGAGTCTTTCTGCTGCTGTCGCTGCTGCGATCGACTTGCCCGTCAGTGTCGTCATAGAGCGCCGTGACCTGGGTCTCAATAGCCGTTATGTCCTCGACGACGCGTTTCATAACGGCACGGACGGTACGGGGCTCGATGGTGTGCAGCCAGTCGCGCGTCTCCACGGATTTTCTGAGCATTTGTGAAACCGTGAGACCTTGGAGTCTCACGAAATGGTTGAGCAACTCTTGCGCAGCTTTTTGGAAGTTGTCGCAGATCTCCGCGACAGGTGTTAGGTCGTTTTTCTGCATCACGTGCTCCTCGGTGTTGAACAGGTCGTCCGTTGATGATATCTGGCGGAAAAAAGGAAATTGAAAATATTTATCATGAATTCGCGTGGGGGATTATCTTACGAGGTAGGCAACGTTGTTGTCCTTGAATTCGAGGCACATGCGGCTCAGGAGCAAAAGCAACGAAGGTGGGAATTTTGGCGCGTCCAGTCCCGTGCTGAATCCATTGGTTGTTGCCGTCAGATGGTGGAGAAAACCAACGACCAGACCTTCTCTGACTTCGTCGACGCAAAAACGTTGCAAGAACTGTGGCTTCAGAACGAACGAGAGTTCTGGTTGCAGGAATGCCTGGAAATTAGTACGAATAGACTTTTTTTTTTTTTTTTTTTTTTTTCTTTTTTCAACCCTGTCACAATTAAAAAAGTACACAAATTGAAATAAAGCAACGAAGCTTCTACCATCAAATCTTGCAAGACCCCCTTGACTTTTTCAATGGTCGGCATGACTAACATAGCTTGAAGCTCTGGCAGGCCACCGTTGCCTTCAGATGAGATTTTTGATGCTAGGGTTTGTCTGACCTTAACTAGAGTTTCGCTTAAATGTTGCTTTAGCGCTGACAAGTGATTTCGACACTGTTTTCGGCCCGCGCTTATAACGATTTCCGTTCCGGTTCTGTAAAATTGTACATTTTTGCTTCAATACTTGCAAATAAATTGATCCATCCAAAAAAGTACTCACTTGGCAAAGTCTGTGTCCTCGCAAAGTGCATTCATGGCTTGCAGTCTTTTGTAAAATCTGTCCAATGCTCTGACTAGAACTGCGGTATCAGCAACATTTTCAACTCTCTTGTTGATCAATTCAAAGTACTTTTTCATATTGTTCATAATAAAACTATTGAGTCGGGATACGGCCTTGGTGTCAAAATCATCGCTAAACTCATTGGTATCCAGGGGCTGAAGATTGATAAACATATCTTTGTAAGAGGCAACGATCAGGCACAAGTCACTCAGAAAACCAGAACTGCCCATATCTACGAATTCAATAATGTCATTTTCACACATGTCTTTCAAATTGTCAAGCTGCTCCGCTAATCTTTCATCCGCTTGATTGAGAAAATCAGCGCATAAAACGTCAGCAGGTTCTTTTAATTGAAGCAACAAATCAACACTCTCTGCCAATGATTTGGTTGAGGCGTTTCTTTTGTGAAACTGAGTGCGAAGCTTAGCTTTTAATTCTTCAACGATTTCTTCGCAGTCTTTTTGAATTCCTTGAAAAGATGGCATGTTGCCATACTGGTTCAATACTCTCTGAGCATGAATGTAGTCTTGTACAGCCTAGAAAAATATTATTTGTTAATAACTTGAGTAAAAAAAAAAAAAAAAATAAAAAAAAAACAAAAAAAAATAGAGCATTTAAACATAAGCTTACTTGGCTGTAGTTTTCTTCAGTGATTTTATCTTTCAAATTTGTTGGTAGTTTGAACAAAAATTGTAACTTCTTCAGAAGTGAATGAGCAGAGGATAGTCTGATAATTTGATGACGAGTACCTTGTAAGGTGTTTGATATTTGTTCTGAAGAGGAGGTAATGCTGTCCATGTTCTTGGCCAACATATCCATCGAATCTTCCATTTGATTGAAATCATCTTTCATCTAAAAGTCATTAGAGAAAAAAATGTAAAATACAAAAAAAAAACATAAGCATATTACGAATACCTTTCTGACAGTGTCTGTTGCTGATATAAACTTATTGTAATTTTCATAGACAAGCGTTTGCATGTCAGAGTGTAAGGTTTGCGTGTCGTGGACCAACTCAGCTTCGTGATCCATTATTTGCTTGAGATTATAATCCTGAAGTTTAAATCCATTCACAAGGTAGATTAATTATTTTATAAATTTTGTAAGTACATCATCTCGCACAAAGTAGAAAATCAGTACAATAATCACCTTCAATAATTTTTGCAGGTAGACATCGGCATTAAAATTTTGTCCGTTGATATCAAACGGATTACTTGAACTTTCAGACGTCATTTTTTATGTTTGTTTGTCAAAATGTCAACAAAAAATAGAGTATATACTTGTGTTTTGATATTTCGTTTACGTCAAAGGTAAAGACACACGCGTGTAATTTCTTACATGTTGGCAACACGTGACTCTTTTATTTTCTACAAGTGGTGCTCCTGATTGGCTCGAAAATTCAAATAATAAATGATAATCAATTCAAATTCGTGATTAATTAAAAACTTGTTTTGACGTTAATCGTAGTAGTAATTATACTCATTTGTATGAAAAACATTAAACTATTTAAAAAATTTAATTAAATTTTACATTTTGGTGGGTATGACATGCAAGTGTCTTACACTTCAAGAGTAAATATACAATATTGTACACGTAACATACGCACATACGTCATAAATTAACTGAAAACATAACCTTGGAAAATCGGTCTTTTGGTGTTTTTTTTATATCAGTTTTATTCTGAAAGTTGAGTAAAAATATATAAGTCCGTAAATATCTGTATCAAATGATTATATATGATTAGCAGTAATACTTCTAATTTGTTGTCAACGTATGTGTAAACGAAAATGTGATTCTTAAAAATCGTTTGTGTTGACATAAGATATTTTAGATGGTCGTGTAAGTATAGGTTTGTGATTTTACTTCTATTGTTTACTAATGACATGCTGATTTGATGAGATCAATGAACGAATAATGAGTTAATTCAAGTATATTTTGAATTCAAAGTTTTTCGTAAACTATCACAGAGAAACAATTCGTGAAGAAGTTTATAAGTTTTGATTACAGAAGAATTTTTTGTATTTCTGTAGAAACTGGTATATTCATTGAATGTGATTCAAAAACTACGACTTTGTAATTAAATATTGAATGCTCCCCTTAAGTTTAATGTAACTTTCTAAATTTAACTAAATAAGTAAATATCTTTACTTCAAATGAATTTGTTCGACACTTTTGTTTCAAGTTACAAGTTAAATATATTTGTATGCCATCAGCATCAGTAATTTCACTGGCAGGAGGTATAAAACCAATCGAAAACATGATTGTATTAATTATGTAATTGGATCGAATTTTTTAGCAATATTATTTATTCATTCTTTGTTTGTCGAATTCATCAGCAAAAGATAAACATTATTTTTCTATTTCTAATGTGTCATCAATTTATCACATGTGTTTCAGATCTATCCACGCACACACAGAAAAGATTATAATAAAAATTCCTCAATAAGCTCAAACAATTGACGAAAATGCCACATCCCTGCGTCGTTTGTGGACGTTCCCGCATGAACCCCAACAACAAAGCGGAGGAGTACATATTCTTCGGATTTCCAGTAAACGATGAGCCACGCTGCAAGAAATGGCTGGAATTCTGCTGTCGAGAGGAGCTCTATAAACTGTCCAAAAAACAACTGCTGCAAAGGATGATATGCTCCAAGCACTTTTCGCGATTCGACTTTCTCAGCGACTTTTCCGATCGCCTCAACGGCACTGCCGTGCCAAGCGTCTATGATCCCAAACAGAGCCTGTACAACATAAGCTGTGTGCTGTGCGGTCGTTGCCGCAAAGATCCACCAGGTCCCGGAAACGATGACGCTACGTTTCACCATTTTCCTGGGGAGGAATTTCGTTGCCTGCAATGGCTTGACTTTGTCGGAGTCGATTCCTACTACAGGCTCACGAGAAAGGAAATAATGTTCTGCTACATTTGTTCGAAGCACTTTCACAGGAACCAGTTTATGCCTGGCTTCCACAACCGTCTGGTCGACGCTGCGGTGCCAGACATCAAGTACCCCGACGAAAACCCTCAAGAAAAAGACCCGGACGGTCCTCCCAACCCATTGGGAAACGTTGAACTCTTCAGCACCTGTGGAAAGGACTTGCCAAAGATCGTCCCGCTGCCAATGTTTGTCCGAAAAGGCCAAGCTTGCGCGTTCTGCGGTCGTCAGCGTTCCGACCCAAAAAATAGAAGCCAAAAGCTCAAGTTCCACCCGTTTCCCGCCTACGAGATCGGCAGGTGTCTAAAATGGTGCCAATTCCTCGAGCGCGAGGATATTCTTGGAATGTCTCCTAATCAGATTCGCAAGTTAGTCCTGTGTTCCAAGCACTTCCAGGCTGGCCAAAATTTCAACAACGGCACCGATCCATGTGACGCAGTTCCCACGATCAAGGACAGGATTGTCCCGTCACCTCAACCAGCACGCACGGAACCAGACTCGGAGAAGACAGGAAAGGTGTTGGTATCGAGCAAGAAGCCCAAAATTAATTCCGACATCAAACCAAAACCTTTGGCAAAGAAACGGGGCAAGTCCAAGAGGCCGACGACCATCAACTTACCCAAGATCGAGCCCAAAAAGGTCAACAACTTCATTGTGCAGAAGGTGCCAATTCCCACGACTGGCAATTGGAAGCTCATAGCTAACCAGTTCCAGCCCATCACCGTGTCAAACAGTATCATGAGCAACGTGGCTGACGTGAAGAAGGTCATCCTGCCCTTCTCTGGAAGCATATCGAATTTGGGTGCTCCCATACCTGTTAACAGCCTGTCAAGCATACCGCCAGGGCTACTTATTAAAATTAACCTTCCAGAGCAGAGCAAGGACTCCGGCCAAGATATCAAGCGGAAAAGACGGAGGAAATCTCCGATTCAGCCTATGAAAGTCGTCCACAGTGGCGATGAGAAAGCACCACAAGAGAATGACAAATGCAAATCTAGAAACCGTTTCTTGGCACAGGAAGAAGATGCCGTTAAGGTAATGGAGAGTGGCGACGTTGACCTTCAACAAGAGTCGGAGGAGGATGAATCTGTTTACGCGAATTTTGAAGAAATTGAGTTTAAAGAGGAGCATTGTCAAGATATCGTAGATCAACAATTGAAAGAGGATATTGAGCCGAGTATCAAAAAGAAAAGAATACGTGAGATGAGGCCTAGGAAAGCATCGCAAAGGTGTAGGAGGACACTGTTGCCGATAGAGTGCCAACTGAGGCAGTTTCTATGGAAGATTAAACCTCATGTTCAAAGGTTACCGAAAAAGTCACAGGCACAAGTCAAACTTGCCATTATCAACAAGGTAATCGAACGATTGTGAAAAAATTTTTTGTAGAGAATGAAAGATGATGAAAAATTTTATTAAATTAGTTTGGTATATTGCTAAGAGAATCAGTTCACTATTTATTTAATAAACGAGTTAAAGTATTTGTTTCTTTATTGTAAGTTAAGCTTATGATTGTGCAAAGGGATTACATTGAAAAAAAAAAATGTACATAACATTTCAAGATGTTCAATTAAACTACTGTAAATAATAAACGAGAGCTTAAAAATTAAAAATTATTCATTTGAATTTTGGTGTCATACTAACTTGAGGGCTATGGTAAAGAAAGTCTTAGATGATTTAGGTGAAGGCATCGGTGATTAAAACATGATCTAATGCTTTCTTTATTTGTTTCGTGGTTTTAATTTATTTTTTTTTTTTGTTAAAAAAACAGTAACATTGCATTTTTGGTTGAAGTACACAATTTTTTTTTTTTTTTTTTTTTTTGTGATCAATTATAGAAAATTTTTTTACAAATGCTGTTTCAAACAAATGAATTTGTTATCGTGTTATTGAATAATTAACTTAATAATTCAAATTACAGGATTGATATAATTAAATTCATTTTACGTACTACTTGAGCCTATTTACATACAATATTTACATTTGAGCTGAACTCAACAAACTAATACAGAATATGTTTTCTGCAAAGTACATACACGTATACAAAAGCTGTGACATTGACTTTTTCTCACTGATTATAAAAGTACCGCAAGCTATTAATTCGATCTATCCACGTATTCAGAAACAACTGCTTCATTGGTCTTTGGATTATAAAATTCAAAATTTTTTATAAAACTGGTAATCATGCTTTACCATTTGCATATTATTAATTCCATATAAATTTTGTGCACTGTTTCTTCCAATGGATAGGAAACTTGTAATCACAGAATCAACGTAAAAAAGGGAAAGCATCTCACTTGTAGCACAGTTGAGATTTGATTATTTTATCAATAGTTGCATTTAATACTTAAGAGTGAATAATAAATCTATCACTACACAGCTGCACCATTTCAGATGGTCATCATAAGGTAATAATGCCTTTTTTGTTGTGACAAGAAATTTGAAAACTCAATCAATGTGCTCAAAATTTAGCTGCGTAGACTTTGTAACCTATTCTTCATCTCTTCCAGTTCCTTATCATCACTGACCTCCTCAACTTCATCCTCTTTAGATGTGGATGCTCCAGGAGTTTCTGTGACCACATCTGGTGCTTTGCCCATCTGTCCGGCAGTCACCTCCCAAAGAATCTACAATAACCAACCATCAAGTTAATTTTCATTCAAACTCAGAACCTACAAATTTCCAGTTAAACTTCCAGAGCTTACCTTGTCAACCTCTTCATCAGCAGCATCCTCTAGCTCTTCGGAATCCTCAATAGAATCAAGAGTTTCATCCATCATTTCCTCAATGATGCCAGCCTTCATCATCTCTTTGGAGAGCTCCCTCATGGTAGCAGCCACCTCTGGCACCTTAATCAGCGCCTGCATGGCCTGCATGACCTCTGTGGATTTGGATACAGAGCCTGCAACTCTTATCGTTGCCAACTGATTCTTCATTTGCAGCGTCACAGAGTTCAGGTGTGCCTTGGATGTGTGTAATTTGTTACAGGCCTGTCTGGCTCGTATGACTTCTTTGGCCAGAACTTTGCACACATCCTTGTCTCCCTTTTTGGCTGCATCTTTAAGAGAGCGCTTAACTTTATCCTCTTCTCTTTGGATCGCTGAAATGATCATTGAAAATTTCAGGGAATTTTATAAAAAATCAAAACTGAAAGTGAGACTTGTTGTAGGTGAATAATTTTTTTTGTACAACTGTTTAAAAAATAGGTAAAAAAAAAAAAGTACAGCAGAGCTACCAGTGTATGGCCTTAATTGTCTCTAATGAAACAAACAACATTTATCTGGTGTAAGTATTTTTTATACTGAGTGTGTCATTTGACAATGACTCACCTCTAACCTGTCTGTCAATTTGATAACCTTCTTTGCGAAGTTTGTGTGACCACTCGTTTACCTAAAAAAATGGAGCGATGTAGTAACTGTACGCTGAAAATTCGAGAAAAATTTTGCATATTACCATTTCTTTGGGATTCTTCTCGTGGGATTTGCCAAAGAGACCCATTTTTTATCAGCTGTATAGTGACACTGTATAGGTGACTCACTGACTGACTATGGCAGTATGGCTCCGAAATACAATGATATAAAATAAGTATGCCTTTTCCTTACATGTTGCGTCTTGCGTGGGTGTAGTATGTAAACGTAAACAGTAAAATATAACTATACCCTATAGGGGTAAATGACCCAATTACTGCGCACTGAAATTTTTGATTGTACTAAATTTCTCATTTCTCAATGTTTTTCGATGTAAATTGAACCAGTTTTACTTAATCTTTATCAGCAGCATCTTGTGCGATTAAAACGACAAACATTTTTCTGTTAAGTAACTTTTTTTTTTTTTAAATAATTGTTTTAGTGCTGATATCACTTGCTGGTACTTAGTAAATTTTGTGTCAGTGCGGCCTGAGGCCTTACCACAGCCTTGACATGAATCGATCTTAGTTGTCGTTGTCCTCGAGAGTATAAGTATCGATATATCTCATAGGCTGAGCCCAAAGTGTTTAAAAAAAATTACTGCCGCAACTCTCAGGAAAGTTGAAAATGTTATGATTCGGCAAGGTGTGTAGTATTTTTGTGAAATTTTGTTTTGGTCACTCGTTATATGGTAATTTAAAAAGTGCATATGGTCTAAACGATATTATTGCCGCAACCTAGTCCAATAGAGAGAAAACAAAGAGTTAAATCTACGTAATGCCATTTGCGGCAGGATTGGGACTTTTCTAGTATCCGAAAATGGTCCCCCCAAAAAGTGTACCTCTCCTTACAAAAAAATTAATGCCGCGACTTTGCCAAACGTTTTTTCATCATAATTAATGCAAGAAATCACACTTGCGGCGATTTTATCTGGTTCTGGGTAGAAAAATAACCTTTTTTTCGTTGCTCATCTAATAAGTAACTAATAATAAGTATCGTATTTCAGATACGATAAGCGTTGTAAAAGCGACGAAAATGGTTATTTTTCCACCATCCGAGGATAGGTTACTCTCTTAATAGTCTTGCTGACGTTTTTTTAATTTAAAAATTCTAACAGTTTCCATTCATTTGTGGCTCCTTAGTGGTTTTGAAGAAACTCGAAGGTGTCTTTTGTATGTGTAACATACCAGTAATATGCATTAATTTTTCAAAACATTTCCCGAAAATTTCTCAATCCTTCATGCAGTTCTTTATTTTCCTTTTTTGAGAAGAAAAAAAAAAAAAAAAAAAAAGAAGCATATATGTTTCTGTTTATCGCTTTTAAAAAAATTTGGGTTTTTTGAAACATTAATTTGTTTATCAAGTTAAATAATCATCCAATCTTTAAATATGTAATGTTGATTCAATGGAGCTCAAAGACCCGCGTAAAACAGCTTTTACGGTGTTTTTTAGTAATTTTTATTGTTGCATAATACTTACATTTATTACTTTGTCTGACCAAATATCATCTTTATACTTGAATCCTTACAAAATTCCTTAGTCTTTATTATTATAACGCTTTAGAAGTAATTTTTATGTACATGATTAATTTTAACTGGGGGAATTTCTTCTTAATTAACGTTATGGGTCGATTAAAAAAAAAATTTACGCTGTAATTCTATTTAAATCCTTTTGTGTATTTAGATCATTTTTTGTCAAGTTTTTATAAGGAATAATGTGAAGAATTTATGAGGCACAACGAAGTAGAAACAATCAAAAGTTTTTGGTTGATTCATTGTATCGCTAGAACATCCGTATAATACCCAACATCAATAGTTATTGCTTTATTACTTTATCGAAGCTGCACAAGAATTTTTTAATAATATATATTATTTTTGTGGATGCCACCAATATTTCTGCAGTATCATGCAATAACTATATAATAAATTATATTATTTAATAGGAGGTGCAATATCGTGTTGCAATACGTAACATCAAGATGTTTACTAATTATTACAATAATAATTATACAGTTTTAATATACATTATCACTTGATATTTTAACAATACTTTAATAATATTGCGTGGAATAGTTTAAGTGTAGTATTGCAAGACAATTTCTACGATGTTGCATAATAAATTGCACAATTGTATTTATTTCCTTGTTTGAAAATTGAACTCGTAGTTTTCTAAATACACTCTTGTCGTGTAGTGCTATGACATAGCGGCAATATTGTGTGAATAGGTATAATTTATTTCCGATATGGGCTATACAATCTCGCATTTTGTTGTTTTAATGCAATGTTGTTTCGATTATGTGGTGCAAAATATCACTTTTAAGTATTCGTATAATATTGGTTCAATATTTTGCAAATTATTTTTGCTACCAAATTTTTTTCAAATATTGTTAGAATATAATATGAACATTGTCCAAAATATTGCTACAATTTTTGAATATTGTTATACAATATTGGTACAGTTTCAAATTTTATACGTGGGAACTTGCAAGTCAATGTGATTTTACAAAAAGGGTTGGTTGGCAATATTAATTTATGCAATATTTAATACTCGCGATTTTACAAGACAATTTGAGAAAACTCCAATAAGTTTCCACATTGGCAGAGGTTGACGCTTCGTTTACATTTGAACGCTTCACACAGATTTAGTATGTATAATTACAGCAACTGAGAATTTTAGAAGAAAAAAAAAAGAAAAAAAAAAAAAAATCAGTCGCAACAACGAATCTGCGTAATCTTGCCTCTTCCACCCTCCAAAACTTGATCAAGGGTAGAAGGACTGTCCTGCTTTCCTCCCTTACATGGCCTGTGGTACCACACCCGCGGCATCGCAAGCTCCCCCGGAAGTCTTATGTACGTGCGCCACGTGCATCCTAAGGTTCCTGGAATCGGCGTAGACGCGCCGACACAAGTCGCACCGGAAGGCCTTCTCCCCCGTGTGGGTGACTTGGTGCCTCGCCAGAACCCCGGAGGTCGCGAAACCCGCCCGGCACACCGGACAGGAGTAGGGCCGCTCGCCCGTGTGGACGCGCTCGTGCCTCGCGAGGTTGCTGGGATTGGCGAAGCACTTTTGGCACTCCCTGCAATTGTACGGGCGCTCGTTGGTGTGGGTGCGCTTGTGCCTCGCCAAGTTGCTGGGATTGGTGAAAGCGCGATCGCAGTCCGAGCACCGGTAGGGCCGCTCGCCCGTGTGGACGTACATGTGTTTCCGCAGATCGGCGTTTTCGGCGAAGCGTCGGGTACACGTGGGGCAGGCGTGCCGTTTGTCACCCGTGTGGGTGCGCAGGTGCCGCGTCAGGCTGCTGGGCGCGTCGAACGCTTGGGGGCACATGGAGCACCCGTGGGAAGCCCTGGGGCTGGAGTTGCTGGTCTGTGGTTGGCTGGGGTTGTTTCTTGGTGGACAGTAGGCAGCCGCTGGTGGAGCATTCAAAACGAAAACCTTTTTTCGGGGGAACTCCATTTCTGTTGAAAAAAACAAAAACAAAAATTTTAATATTTTTTCATGTATTTTATCGTGAACTACGATACGTGGTTGCCTCGGCTTTGGTTGTCTTACAATTTAAGGAAACTTTTGCCAATCATTTTTCTACTTATTTGGGAATGAATATTATAAAATTCAGATGAGGAGGTACCGTCATGTCAGAGCTTGTGTGTATCTTCCATATTTATTAATTAAGCTCTCCACGTGATGTCATATAAATTCATCTCATCAGAGAGTGTTGGTTTCAGTTTAGGCGGACTTGGCCATGTCCGTATTTTTAATGTAAACAATTTTATTGTAATTGGAAAAAATTGTTTTATTTTTTACATTAAATACTATTTCATGCTAAGTTGTACAGCTATTGGAAAAAAAATTACTAATCTCTAATTAAATTCGTACTGACAATTTTTTTACTCAAAAACTTTTGAAATGCATCCGAACGCATCATAAAATGTCTTAAAAATTGTTTCTGATTATTTTTTTTATGATGTTTAAAATAAAATATTNATAATAATAATAATACTAATACTAATACTAATACTAATACTAATAGTATATAAAGCAAAGTCGCCAAAACCGTTGTAATCGCTAACCATGAAAACTAATCAACCGATCTTGCTGAAATTTTGCCTACTGATTTTTGACACTTCTTAGATGGTTTTGGTATAGTTTTTATCTTGAAAAAATTAATAACAATAGCAATAAATAAGCTCAAAGTTTTGTAAAAATACGCTAGCTTTTCACTCTAGTTCAGTAGGATCTTCTAGATGGCGTACAAGTAAAATCAAAGCTACCTGCAGTAGGATTAAGTAAGTCTGGTTATTAAATTCCCGAGCAAACAACCTTACCGTTGCTGTGTTTAACCAAGAGCATCACGCTCATGACTTCTGACTGTAGAATTGAAGCGCCGTAGAACGGTGGCGGTAGTGATAGAGTGATAAGATTAATTATGACTGTTGGAATAACAAAGTAATTAGGGAGACATATAATTAAAGTCGTTTAACAACTATGCCAATGTAATGATAATTAAATACAATTTTTCTTTAAAATATTTTCATAATTAACATGTATATACCGGCACTGCCGTTTTGCGTCGCTTTAGTTGTTCAATCATAAGCATGGGCGTGATAGTGATACTCTTGGTAAAACATCGCCAAACACCACAATCGATCATTGGCACTGAATGAAACACAAAGCTGGCACTGGGAGTCGTGCTGGGCTGGGATTCCGGCTATCAATAACACTGCTTTCTATAATGGAAAAGCGACTTACGTTGAACTCCATCCCAAACCACCAATATTGACGAGTACCCCACCAATAAAACGGTGTTGTTCACATTCAAAATGCTTAACGTCTCCAGCGAAATATCAGGGGATGTAGGCCAATTAATCTACGAAAAATATGACATTAGTGTTAACAGAAAATAATTACTTATGAATAACATTTATTTGATCTAAGTAATCGTAGAGTGTTTTTTAAATTGTTCCTGATTATTCTAGTTATAACATTTAAAGTAAAATATTTTTAGTACAAAAATCTTTTAATTCACTATCCTTTGTCAAGGTACTGAAAGACTTGAGTCGAATGCCAGTGCATGTTATGTACCTACATTTAACACCAACATATTTTAGAATTGATTTAAAATATGTACTTGGAAGAAATGAACTTTGGAGTATTCGAAATGGACCAATCAAATAAAAATTTACAGTTAACAAAGCAATGAAAAAGTTTTATTAGTAATGATTTTATTATCACTGATGTATTTGATATTTTTGTTTAACAAAAAATACTTTCCAAACTCATTTAAAATTAGCTGTCCCTATCTCTCCGTTCAAGCAGACTTTGAGCTTTTGGTTAAAATTTGTATGAATACTTTTGGGATAAAAGTATCAGGGGCGTATCACTTTCTGCAATTTAAGTTACCACTGCGCCAAGTAAGATTATTAAAAGTATGCCTATGATCAGAATTAAGCTTAATTACTTTCCGGATTTTTAAACAGTTTAAAAAAAAAATCGCATTATTTTTGTTCAAAAAAGTTTTCATCCATCACCATTTGTGGATAATACAATGTTAGAAAATTTTTTTTTTGTGACAGATAAGTGCAATATATTTAAGATATTAAAGGTTATTTGAAACCAAATATTTAAATACTTTTTCAAATATTTTGGCTGTTTCTTTTGGCATAAATTGTCCTTCCATCAAGTTGTAATTAATGCTTTGTTTTTGCTGGTGAAAATTTTATGAAGCACAGTGATATAAGTAGTATTTGAAAATTATTTTTTATCACATATAATGCATTGCACTTTTAGTAAAAAAATGAAAATGTATCCCAGATAAAGTCTGTCTATTAGTTTGCCTGTGGATGTAGATTAAATTACTTTTATACATACCCAATGAAAAAATAAATACGCACAAACCCAAGACTTTGAGGTGTTTTAAATTACTTTGTCATTTTATTTTAAATTAAATTAAATTTAATGAAGAAATAGTATAATTAAAATTTATTAGATTTAATAGTGTAAAAAAATATTTAACACTAGCTTTTCTTCACTTCAACGAAATTAATTGCAATCATTATAGTTGCTTCATGATACATAATAAATTGTGAAAACGATTCATTTCGTTTTTTGTTATTTGTCAAGGAAAACTTAAATTATACTTCGATCGTTACTCATATATAATACTAGGATATTATTTCACGACTATGATATTATCTACAAAGAAACGTTAAAACAGAAAATTCCTCTAAAATAAATGTCACGATGTCCATATAGGATGTTGATTAAAAAAGTACTAAGTTATTTGTTGTTAAAATGCAACTCTAAATTTTAAAGTATATACTTGCCTTGCTTGATGTTCAACTATTCGGTATAATAATTATCGTGATATGAAAGCACGTTGAAGTTTTTTTCGTTGAATCTAGGTTACTTTTTTACGTGTGAGCTTAATATAATAGGCGTTGCCACGTACGAGCAGTAGACTTTCTTAAAACATTACTACGAAAGATCAGACTAGAAGATATTATCACAATTCACTTCTAGTGGAAAAAAAACTTTTCTGTCACTATAGTTAAATTTGAAAATTCAATGTAATCTAGTGATATAATATAATAGATAAATAAAGTATTTGCTGTTTGTACGCTGTACAATCAGGTTTTACGTAGCATTATGAATGTATATTATATCAATAGCTTAACAATATTGTTACGAGAATCTCAAAAATAATTATTGCGTGAATTAGCAATCAAGTTTCTGCAAGATTCTACTCATACAAATTTTTTTCTGGCAAAAGAATACATCATCAATGCTAGCAATTTTGTTGTAAAGTACACCAACAAGATAAAGTAAATAATGTTTCTGAATGTTGGGTTTTACTTGCAAATAAAAAAGCCTAATTTAAATAGTGGTTTAAACTTTTTTTTTCTATTTTGAGTGTGTGTATCTCTGTTAGTCAAATCTCGGGAATCCGCTGACTAATTTATTTTATTTTACTAATAATGCTGGTCTGTGGTTGGCTGGGGTTGTTTCTTGGTGGACAGTAGGCAGCCGCTGGTGGAGCATTCAAAACGAAAACCTTTTTTCGGGGGAACTCCATTTCTGTTGAAAAAAACAAAAACAAAAATTTTAATATTTTTTCATGTATTTTATCGTGAACTACGATACGTGGTTGCCTCGGCTTTGGTTGTCTTACAATTTAAGGAAACTTTTGCCAATCATTTTTCTACTTATTTGGGAATGAATATTATAAAATTCAGATGAGGAGGTACCGTCATGTCAGAGCTTGTGTGTATCTTCCATATTTATTAATTAAGCTCTCCACGTGATGTCATATAAATTCATCTCATCAGAGAGTGTTGGTTTCAGTTT